GCTAATCTCTGCTCCTAAATGGTCCGCGGCCAGATGGAGTGAGAACTACTGTTCGAGACAACCATGGGAGGAACCACGATCATTACGTCTTGCACTTCAGTAGGGAGGGAGCCAATTTGAAACTGAGAGGCAATTGGATTACCTGCCAATTGTTACAAGACTCTGCCACCTCTTCCCTCAAGCCCCTCGGTCGGGGTTGAATGGTTGATGTTGAAACTAGGGACACCCGCGCGTAGGTATGCTCTGCTGACGAAATCCGATCTTTCTTTAGCCATGTTTCCAAGTGCTGTGAGGGAGGCACCTTTTACGAGAGTCAGTGCGGAGGGTCTAGTAGGAAAATAGCCATAGTTATCGAAGCTTCATCCTGTCTTCCGCCAGTTGAAGGTTGAGTGAGTGTCATCGTATCATCTCAGCCTCCCGGAGATCATTGTAGACAGTGTTTGGTCGAATCAGTTCAATGCAGCCATGGTTCCGGGAATTATTGGACCTGAGACCAGTTAATGGATCCTAAATAGGGGAACAGATGCCGAAATGTTCCCCTGGACAGGGAATGGAGATTAGCTGCCGAGGTCCCGCTGCTACTAGCCATCCTCGGCCGCAACTGTCCAACAATATGAAGAATATATTGGTGGTTTCACATAGGGCAGAAGTAAGACAAAAGAAAAAGGAGGAGGTGGGAGGTAACATGGTACTGAGGAGTACCTTATGAGTAACTCGCTGACAACTTCATACCCCAGCACTCAGGTTCCTTGGACCTACCTGATCTTGCTTAGTTGCATCTCGCATCGGTGAACTTTGCTACACTCCGGGAATGGCCCGGGGGTGGAATGGCGATGATCGATGTGGACCCCCCCCCCAAGCAATGACGATAACCAATTCTCGGTATGTACGCATGTACTCTGAGCAGACCCAGATAAGATGAAAAGTTGAGGCTTCGAGGATAAATTTTCCTTTAGTTTGATTATGACAGTCACAGGCTCAAGTGTCCTAATGATTAGTATCATTGACCATTGACCCCAGCAAATACATACCTCCTGATCGGGAAGTACCATACACTGACTGTCTCGGATCTGTAGTACCACATGTTGAAATTCGACGTCAATAGGGCGGATGCATGTTGGTGGTGGTGGTGGTGCTGCTGCTGCTGCTGCTGCTACCACAATGACGACTACAGCCCATGAAAGCCACCTTCTTCAGGCTGCTACTACCGGTACATCGTACAATCCATGAACCAGCATCAACCCTGCAGGGAAAAAAATAAATAATTTGATTCCAAATTCAATCTGAGCGAACAACCCCCTCCAGAATCAAAAGAAAAGAAGGACATCGCCCGCCAAAGAAAGAACTTACCTAGCTACGAGTACCCAAGTAAATGGTTCCTTACATAACCTTACTTCCCCGGACTTGCTGACCCGCATAATTAGATTTTATGCATCCACCAACTAAACTATTACTTTTATGCTCGACATGATTGAAAACCCCTGCGCTACACATACTATCGTTGAAAGTACTTTTACCGAACATGATGGAACAACTCCGATCCGGCTCCGAGATCCATGGTCGTAGCATTTGAGATCCCAAGCCCGATGCCTGCTGCTTGTGCCGTTACATAAGTTATACTAGTTAGTCTTGACAGGGCAGGCAGGCTACGCGATTACCTTTGTGAGGGCATGTCTCCGCCGACGCGCACATGCCCGACTCCCTCCGATACGGGGGAGGGGCGGGAGAAAAGGGGTGAGTGTGTTGTTTTGTGCCACAGCAGGCAAGGTAAGAAGGGTGGATTTGGGGGCAGATCATGTAAAACTTATGAAATCTCGCCGGCCCCCCGTTCGCACCTCTTGCTGCTCCTTTCCTTTGCAGTAAAGTTAATTGTGTTGTTCCCTGCACCAGTTCCTCGAGAAGTTGGCTAGGGAAGATGAGGCCCACATCTATCAATATACTACTCCGTACTGTAGCCAACAACGAGGGCAGCACTCTACCGGTATACAGCTTCGATTCGCCTCACCAACTGTCTGATACTGACTATTCATGAATCATGCTACACGGTCAATGTCATTGTGTTCCGGACATGTCAGGCCAGAGAGCGGGCTAGACTTTCTCCGGCCGCAAACTAAGTATAGCACAGTAAATACTACTTGTACTCAGGTTACTGCTATCACGACCATCACGACTTACTGTTCCCCGATATGCCGCCACAAATGGAATATGGTCTAGGTGCTGTATTAGGATATAGGAGCGGAAAAGTTAAGAGAGGCACAGAAAAGAAAATTACCTAAAAACAGAGGCAATGGCCACGGATAGAACACACACATATATGATATAGTTACAAAAATAATACATCATCTTCTACGCGTCACCCGAGGGAATTTAGTTTCCCCTCCATGGGCAAGGTGTATCAAGTTCAGGGAAACACCAACTAACTTAGAGATACTACTCCGTACGCCGTGCACTTATAGCCTAGCCTTTCTAGACTTTGTTACGTGATCTGGAATCTAGACAATCAGTGTCTGAATGGTCTAGCCAGTCTTTACTTGACCCACGCTCCATCAACGCTCCATCACCCTCTACTTTGGTTGTTATACATCCCGAGATCGACGAAACGAACAGCACGGCTGGTCCAGATTTCAATAATAATGAAGAGCTTCTCCAACTACTGGTCCCAACCTAGACTATCAATAGAAACCCGCATCCGTCGGGCGTTCTAGCCTTCAGGTTGTACTTTTGTTGGACAGGTTTCCAACTCGCCAACTCAAAAAGAGACGGGCAGGCCTCACCACTCCACCACCACTGCAGGCAATCGACGGAAATTCCTGCTTTTGCACACGCACGCTTGAGTGTAACCAGCCCAAGTTTCCGGATTGTTGTCGTCGCTAACCCATCGCGACTGGGGTTCTAATCGATGACCCCCCGGGCAGGCGACGCCATACCCATTGGCTTCCCTGATCGGTCGCACAGCATGGTGCGTCACTGCTGAGTTGTTCGGTTCCTCTGTTTCGAAATATTTGCATCGGCAGAAAAGCACTCGCAACTGGCGCGCTTGCAGGCGTCTCTTCGCTGCGATGTTTCGCATGGTGACAGGCCGCTAAACATAGATAGGCCGTTGTACAGAGATAGAACACTACTCGTAAGCTAGCTATCCTCTAGGATTCAGAAACGCGTCATTTGCCCCCCTTGCTTTGAGCTCACGCCCGTCGCCTCGTCATGAGGTTTCCCGTGGTCAAAAACCCCTTATCTCCCATCGCACCTCGCCACTCAATAGATAATTGGCCTAGAGCAGCCCGCCCATCGCGTCTCATGTCCTTCTGTAGGGCCTCGAGACCTTCCTGCTGCCCTTCCTCTTGTTCAACCAAGAAAGCGACCTGCAGGACATCGCGTGGATGTAAAGTCGGCGGCTGGGAATCTGTCAGATCGGTTCCTTCCAAGTCCCAGTTCAAGGATATGGACTTGAAAGGTGGCTTGGGGTTGAGTCGTGTTTGCTGCCAAAGATTAGTATGTGTGCAGCGAGGATCTCGGCCATGCTACTGAGATTTCAAAAGGAAAGTCCCCACGATCTGCAACCTACCTTGACCACGACCGGGCCATCGCCCACATTTTCGAGTTGGGCCTCTAGCGCGAAGCGTAGCAAGCGCGTCTTCCCGTACGGACCCAAACTCTTGTTTTCGACTTCAAGGGGCGCCAGTTCGGAAGCTTTGGTCCGTACACTCAGACAGGGCTGAGCGACAAACTGATAAAGTTTGCGGAAGGTCCGGACTCTGCCGCTTGCTGCCTGGGCATCTGAGCCTATCGACGTCTCCGTGTAGCTCACACTGACCGCCAGTATGTGATTGCCCTCCTCCTTGAGATCAAACCGTACAATTTTCTGCAAAGATTGGCCCTTCTGCAACCCGTCCTTTTGAGATGTATCTTCCGCAGGCTCGAGGTCCAACGCCGCTACCTGAGAGGGTGTTTGCATTTCAGCGACAATTCGGACAGAGGTGACAACACGTGACGCCTCATCTACAGACAGCTCATTGTTTGCACTGAGCGTGCATGCAAACGTCTCGCCGACGTATGCAGATCCGAAGGCAGGAGGTAGAGTCAGCTTGTAAGTTTCGTGTCAGTAGCCGAACATCAGACCATGACTGCATCGATTTACATTGGGAGTGAGGATGAATTGACCGTCCGTGTGATCGGCGGGGTAGCTCAGTGATGCTTCGCTCGAGATCTTCGTATTTGCCGCCGGTAAGGGATACTGGTATGATAGAGAAGGGCGAGACAGCCTTGTGGGTATTGTCAGGAGAGAAGTGCGCGATGAAGTTGTCGTTGATAGGTGTAGTATTTCAACAGGAATGCAGTCGCTTACCGCAAGACTGAAACGATCATTCATCAATCAATCAGCCAAGTGCTTTGTCAAGGGGGAAGAGGACTCCGGCAATGCCATCTATACCTTTGAGTGAAATTGCATGGGGCTCTTTAGGGCCATCTGCGCCCGAGAGAGCACGAGGGCGTGCCATTTTAGCTTCTGAAGAGTTCTCTCTTTTGTCGTGGGAGGTAAGGTAACAGTAGCTTGGATGAACGTCATTTCAGAACCCATACTCGGGCGGCGCTGAGGGCGGTGAAGCGTTTACTACACTTACTCCATACGATTTTGCGGAGTACAAATGTCCCCGTAGAACGTCTGGATTCGGCGTCTCCGTAGCTTTCTTGTATACCATGTATAGTATTGAAAAGGTCTAGTGCCAGTGATGTGGAAAATACTGCCGGTGTCATTAGCAATTACTAAGCCCTAATACACAAGCACAAGATCTCAGGAAATAGTATCTAATTAGAGCTAAATCAGTAGTAGTAGCTTCTAAGCAACCTCTCAACGACACTGACAAAAAGCAGGGTCAATGAGGTACCGCAACAACTGCCAAATGACGGGGGCTGCCGCTCTCTTGATTAGTCGGTCGGCTCACCGCCTCGGGGCCTTGTGTAGATCGCGAGCCTCATCATCTATAGGCTGAATCCATCCGTCTTCACCTCTCTCGTCACCAAAAGCAAGTGGCACCGGATAGGTTCTGAAATGTGACAATTGGCCATTGACTGCTATCTCACTCAAGCTTCAAGCTTGCTGACTGCGCATCTCAGACCCGAAACTTGTGAGGATATTGCAGTACTTGTGTCATGCGGCGGAATTAATCGCTTATCGGTCACTTATCTCTTCCATGTTGGTCGCTATCCGTCGCCACTGCGATCTTGTGAAAGCGACCTTCCATTTGAAGTCCAAGCCCTTCAAGATCACTAGAGCCAACTTCCTCCTTACGATGGGTGCAACCTCAAATGCAACTGCTCGCTTGCAGACTGTCAGAACTTCACGGAGTGGGGCTCGAAAGCAGCGTGCAAAGGCAACAACAAGCACATCCGCGGTCTCGAAAAGGAAGCGAACTGCTGATGAGGAGGAAACAATAACAACGACGACCACGACCACTACCACCACTAGAAGATTGCAAAAGGCTGTTTCTGACACCACCAATTTACCCAAACTCAGGGATGTTGGTCGTACCGAGCAGTCCTCCACTCGCCCGGGAAAAAAGCCCAGGGCGCAAGCGCCCAGTGAAGAGCGTCGAGAGCGTAGATTCAGGCCCCATGCCCCGGTATCCTTCAAAGAGAGGGCTGCACGTGCAATGAGTCAACGGTGAGATCTTGGGACTCAGAACTACTCGGAATATTGAAGCTAAATGTCTCAAGCATGTTTATTGTTGGGCATACCGTCAATCTCGTAGACGGAGTTCTGATTATGAGCTTCGACATTGTCGGGACCACTGGCAACATCTACAAAACCACTATTGGGAAGGTGCCAACCTGCGACTGTCCAGATGCACGCAAGGGTAATCAATGCAAGCATATCTGTTATGGTAAGCGTTTTGTTTCTCTTGACAATCCCTCAAATCCTATCATTATGTCGCTATCACTTATCACTCATTGTTATTCTATGGTCCTAACAATCATGGCTGTTCAAGTGTTGATCAACGCCCTCAAAGCGCCGGCGGACCTTCAGTACCAGCTGGCATTTCTATCATCGGTAGGTGGCAGCACGAACATTGTCACCTGTGCCTGGAGGATTTGCTCACCCGTCTTGCAGGAACTGCGGGCGATATACAACGGTTCCCCGCTCAGCAAAGAGCAATCCACAGAGGACAACGCTGGCAACAGAAAACCGATCGAGGGAGACTGTCCAATATGCTTCATGGAATTCGAGCCCCAAAGAGAGGACATTGTGTGGTGTCGAGCTGCATGCGGGAACAACATTCACAAGGCTTGCTTTCAGCAATGGGCTGCCACCCAGCAGGCACAGGGTGTCAGATGTGTCTATTGGTGCGTTCCCTGCCATCTAGATCTTTACTATATGTTATTGACCCAATTAAGTCGTTCACCCTGGCAGCCGGATACCGAAAATGTGAATGTGGAGGAGCTCTCCCGCCAAGGCAAATTCAGTCGGGATGGATATGTCAATGTGGCACAGCACTTTGGTCTCTCAGGCCGTCGCGGTACGAAGCTCTCATTCAGAAACGCCATTTGTCGTTACTTAGCATACATGCGAAGAGTAACCAATACTGACAGACTGACTCTGATTAGACGTTTCAAGCTACCATCCTTTCTGGGTGCGCCGACAGCAGCACCAGCACGAGGACGACTGGGATTACGATGACTATTGATGAGGTCATGGCAAGAGCTGAGTCTATTGTACGCTGGCTTCAAGGCGTGTTCTTCACTTCTTCTGCCGTCTGGCACGGTCATAATTCTGCATTAAAAAACTTGCTTTCGGTTAGCGGGGAGGATTTTGAGAGTCAGCTGTTGCATGCTAGTCTCAGGCTATCTGGCTGGAATGGTCTGAACCCCAACTCTCATCCGGTCATTTCCATGGCCATTGTTATCATTATGCTTAATGAATATGAGGTATTCTTCATTCTGACACACATGTGCTGTTGAAAATTATTTGATCCGCCCAGGTTCTGCATCATTTGATGAGTTAGACTTTATCGATTATCCTCATCAAACCTTCCAGCGACCTATCTAGATCCAACTGAACTTGAAGGACTGAAGGGGAATGACCTAGCCGGGTTTGACACGCCCGGAGATGACTAAGAGAGATTTGATTTCCAGTGCTGTCAGGAAGGGCGCCGCCATTCTAAGGCGAATTGATCGACTTCATCTATGCTGATGGCACGGGAACGTCGAAATTGATTCTACGTTGCTTGTTTCGATTGATGTCCCACCATGTTTCCCCTCTCAGTGATAATGATGGTGCCCCGATGACATGGCGGAGGGGGGAATGGGGGTAGCCCATACTTGCACACCTGATGTTGAGGCTCCATGTGCTTGAGTAGGTGGCCTGCATCGGCTTCAACGTCTCACGAAGCATTAACAGTACCGTATTAGCCGAAAAATAAAAAGCCCGTGCCAGAGGATTTCATCTACCGGCTTTACTCACTCCCCTCCCCTCTCTCACCGCAAGGACACTGACCCCTTCCTCACCCGTCATCCAGCAAGGCATCCTCTCCGCGTCAATAACACCCAACTCCGCAAGCTTTCGAATCCCACCAATCACATCCGTACCAGCGAATGCCAGCGAGACTGTTGGTTGTTGAGCGTGCTCTGTTGGCTTTGCATCACCTGGTAAGGCATCGAGTAGCCTAACATCGAGTCGATCAAGCGGCACAGAAGACAAAGTACCCGAAGTGCCGAAACGGGACTGCAGGGCCAGAGTCCGCTTCTTGGAGGTACCGGGTTCCTTGGAGTCAGCGAGAGATCGCTTAGAGGCCCTTCTATTTTCAAGGGTGGCTTCCTTTGCGTCAGTCGCCGTGTTCTCTTTCCCGGCCGAATCCCTGGAGCGAACCGACGCTGATTGGCGGTTATGCTCCTCCGGAGAGACGGTGTTGGATGGCCGTGGGTCCAAGGGGCTTCCTTCCAAGGCGGCGTCTGCGAAGATACTGAATGCGCCGTTGGCGTGATTGGATCGACCGGGGCCCCGAAGGGCGAGCAGGGCTTCGAGACTCTTTGCTATTAAGGAGGTGGGCTTGACGGTATATCGTTGATGGGGGAGAGAGAGGGCTTTAGGAATAGCATCTCGGACCAGGCGCTGGAGGCTGCGAACGTCTGTTGCGACGAGGGAGTTCGGGAGAGCGGAACTAGCCTTGGAGGCTGTCTGGGGAGAAGCCATGGATGTGTAAAAGAATGGGCAACTGTCTGGGAAAGCGACATAGATGGTTCTAGACGAGTCGGTGAGAGATTCGGCACTCTGACGAGGGGCATTCTGGTAAGGCGAGGTGGTGACGAAGACACGGAGCACGGTGAGGGGAAGAGAGGTCGACCGGGCAAGATGGTAGTGGGCTTTCACTAGGGGAGAGATTTGTTGCTGAAGACTGCTTAGGAAAGTCGATGCGTGAACACGCGGTATGCACGCGAATGATTCGTTCGAGGACGAGTTGTCGATGCGAGCGAGTTCTAAAGCTGTCCAGCGCAAACTCGACGGATGGTCGTCCATGTAGCGCAGGTCGACCATTGCCAGCTGACGAAGTGTGATGCCATGTCGCCAGTCGCCTTCGAGAATCCGATCTATGACTTCGCGTTTCCCCCCTTTCCGAAACTGCAGCTCCTGGTAGGCGTTGCGAACCCCGTTGATAGTCCGCTCAGCAGGATAGGGACGGAGTCCGTCGCCATCACCCTCTTCTCCCCTTTTGCTGCCTTCGTTGGCTTGGAGATATGGCGGGAAGTGCTGGACATTGCCATCCTCAAGCCACTGGAAGACAAGGTCAAGTAAAGCCTGGCGAGTAAGCTTGCCAAACGTCTTGACCAGCGATGGGGTGGAAGAAGGTATGCGAAGGTTGCTAGAAAGACTGGCAGTAGTGGGAGCACGAATTGCTTTGGACCGCGCCATTGTGACTGGCGACTGGATATAGTACTAAGAACCGAGTTCGGTATACATGACAAGGTCGCACAATAGAGGCGTTGTGAATGACGAGCCCCAAAGTACCTTGGCTCTATGCTGGTCGGGGGCCCGAAAGTCGTGATGCGAACGCGACCAAGTTTGGGGATTCCTGGGGCATCAACAAACTAGAGTCACGTGGCGATAAGAGACCGGACTTGCAGTCGGTCTTATCATATCGCCGTTGCCCTTACTGTTTTCGGCATGAACGAGTGGGACAAAGAAGTTTGCTGAAGGGCTTAGATTCACCAACTGATTGGGGTGATTATAAATCCTGAGATTCCTTCGTGAATCACTGTCAGCCGGATAGAAGACAATGGTGTGTGAAAGTTGTTTAGACTTAGGGCAAGGCTACCAAGTACAGTACGAACTACGTCTCTTTTACTTACACCTAAGGGACACTTCGGACCGAAATAACTGCGCTACGGGCTAAAACAGACTCAACGGGCGGATGGGAATACTTCTTTGAGAATGCATACGAGGGGAAAAGTGGAGCAGCAAACGGACGGAGAAGGAAAGATTTCCTCTGCGAGTCTTAAGAGTGTTCTAGATAAGTTACCTTATTAGCGATACTAGACCACTTCGACCATAAGCGTCCAGCTTGAGCCAACCATAAGCACTGTGGCAGACGCCGTCTGGGTGTACTGAAGTCGATTGGTTGGCTGAACTCACTTCCCAACTAGACCTTCTGCACTGCAACCCTAAGCAAAAAGAAAAGGAAAAAGCCTCGGGTCTGCCCGCCGGCGGTGTCGACAAACTGACTTCATTGAGGGAGAAGAGGGAGAAGAGGGATTAATAATAATCTACCCAAGGCCTTTGAAGTTGGAACTCAAAACCGGGCAGGGCTCGTGGAAACTGGAAACTACCACAACTGGAACCCCAACCCCAACCCCAAAAAGCAAGCCGATCTCGGCCACTGAAACGAGGATGACTCGGCTTCGATGTCATGATCCGGAAGGGCGGCGGCGCTGTGGCGAGAGCGACGCAAGCAAGGCAGGAAAGAGGAGGAATTCAAGGACTTGCGTAGCCAGACATACTCAGTATACTGAGTAGTTAGTAGTTAGTTGCTTAATGATTACATTGAGTCTACAAGATGATGATGATGCAGAGGTTCTGAAGAAGAGAACGAAGAGAACAAAAGACAAGACTGAATGGAAGGCTGAAAGAAAGTCAAACGGGAAGTGGTGGTGTGGTGCAGTGGTGTTAGTCACTTGTATTAGTCGTTGACCGCGGGCAGCTGACTGATTCCTACTGATAACTAAGTACTCGGAGTACGAGTAGTTACTACCTAGTTGTACTTAGTCTTACAGTACTCCGTAAGTTACAGGCTACCTACGGGAGTTTCCCACGAGTCTTAATAATCAAACCACCCACTCACACCCCCGCCCCGCTGTAATCATTGAATTTACCCAGTGGCCAGTGCCCTTTTTCGGCCTCCCGCGCGTCCCACATTGGAATGAATTCAACCCGAACCCTCCACTGACCCTCCTCCGCCGCCCGCCCATTTCGCTCTTTCACCCTCTTCAATCTATTCTATTCTTTCTCTTTTCCCCAGACTCCATCCACCCAACCCATCGACAACTCAACTCCCGACAATCAATCTCTATCGATTATCGCCAAACGCCGTCGACTCAATCAAGCGCTCGTGAGCCCCATCTCACTTCCTCGGACCCGGCTTTCCACTATCATATCGTCTCCGGTCTACTTCTATCCACGTCGGATAATCCACGAGTTCAATCTATTGCATGGCTCAGCCATAAAACGAAGTCGGTATTGTCGTCTTGAATGACCTCCATTGCTTTCGCCGCCTGGTAAATTCGAGACGCACAGAGGCCACGGCCCACCTCAATCCAACACCATGTCTGAATTCAACGGCCGTCGGGCCCCGAACTTTTCCCAATACCTGGAAGATCTGAATGCCATCCCTTCGCCATATGATCAGGCTATGCAGCAGCAACAGCAAGAATCCTACAACTTCGATGCCGATCTCTCGTTGTTTACCAACACCGAGTTTTTTGACTTCGACCACTTTGGCGACATCAACCTGCCTGCTTTTGATTCGGTGGATAAGACTACAGTGAAGAGGGAGACCGCGCAGGATGCCAACTCCGACATGGATTTCTTGAATCTTCTAGGAGGTGAGTAGGGAATCGTCGTTTCTTGCCGCCTCGTTTTCATCCTGGAGTGTTGGACATATGATGCGACTGAATATCCTATCAAACTGGCCATTTGGAAAGAGTCACTTTGCATTGCCTTTCAGAAGCCTGAGCATTGAGCCAACTCATCCTCCGTGGATGTCGTTGTCTCTGCCCGCGCTAGCTCATTCTCATGCTCTGCGTCCCATTTTCCCTGCCCTCCTTGAGAAACATTTCTTGCCCCTCTAGGATCATACCACGAGCACAGGTTTTATACCAGCTGCTCTGCCTAGATTAAGCACACCATTTGCACATCTCCTGATTGGCTAGCCACCTGCATGAGATCCCATCGTCTGTGCGACGATCGCAAAACGTGCAGTAGTCTTGCCTATGGGATTCATAGCGCGAGCCGCACCTCTAATTGCGCAATACCACGTGACACCGCATCGGAGGCTGCATTTGAGGGTTGCCTTGGGCTCTCAACTCGGAGCCGTCTTGGCGATTTGTCTGGACCCAATGCTGCTCTTCTTCCCTTCTGCGTTTCTGTCTTGCGAGGCTGATAGTTACAACTGTCCCTGGACTTATCACTGATTTCTGCTTCAAAGGCTTCGGCAATGTCAACGACATTCCATCCTCCAATGTGAATGCGGTCAACACTCAAGCTGTGCCACCACCTCGCAACCCACAGTTCTCCGCTCTGCCGCCCTTGCCGAATGCTCCCTACAATGTGAACCCGGCTCCGAGTCAGGCGTCTTCACAACATTCTCCGCAGTCATCGTCATCGATGTCCCCTCCCGCTGCTACCGCTGTACCTCCTGCTACCACTTCCTCCTCGTCTGCCACCGCGCCGAAGCGTAAGAACACCCAGAAGGTCCCACCTATGAGCGTCGAAGAGGTCGCCCGCATCGCGGCGGAGGAAGACAAGCGCCGGCGCAACACCGCCGCCAGCGCCCGCTTCCGTGTGAAGAAGAAGATGCGCGAGCAAGCTCTCGAGAAGACCGTCAAGGAGACCACGGAAAAGAACACCGCATTGGAGGCTCGCGTCACAGCCCTGGAGTTGGAGAACCAGTGGCTGAAGAACCTCATCACAGAGAAGAACGGGCAGACCTCAGAAGAGGCCAAAAAGTCGGAGAACGATATTGCCATCATGTTCCAGAAGTTCCTCGCCTCACAGCAGAAGGACAGCGAACGGAGTACTTCTGACTCCAAGATCGGCGTAGGCACTGCCTAGTATTGATTCTCTTGTTTACTCTTCCATTCGCGTGCGAGCATGCCTAGTCTTATCCTGATTTCTTCGCCCTTCCCCACTTCTCTTCCTGTAGATGTTTACATCCATGCAAGGGACCCCCCCTCACGCTCATCCCCCCGCTCGTGTCCTTCTTCTTGCCATGCTCTATGTTAATATTGGTTGGTGTGTGTGTGTGGAAAGTGTTCGGCGTACGCGGAGCCTGTTTATGATGGAGGTGGTTTGCTCGGGCGGTGGGGAAGTTAACGTGCTATTTCATTTGCTAAGGGCAGACACCTGCAGTACAGAATCCCAGCTGGCTTAGCTCATTGTGATTTGTCCCCTTTTATAAAAGTATATGATAATGAATGATACCAAAGCAATGTTATCTCAGTTCACCTTTCAGAAGTACCCTGCCTGTCAAGATTCACTAGCCACTGGCCCATGTTTTTGAGACCGGATAACGACCATGCCGCAGGGGGGAGGACGGTTCTCTCTTCCTTTCGGCCGATCTACGTGTAAAGATTGGGTGTACGTGTGGGGCGTAATTATGGATCGAATGATATACACCGATCCACGAAGAGGCATGAGTTCATTCTTTACATATCTCAACGGAAAGCAGCAATGAACCCCCCATAACAGTCTAAAACTCCTCCCATAACCCGAAGCGCCGCTTGAAGAATGAAAGAAACACAAGTAAATGAAAGGTTGTCGGCAAACCCCAAGCTATAACTCCCGAACACCTCGAAGGGAATGCAATAGCCCCGCTCCTTTCCCCTTCGCATATAAGACATTATGTGGTGGGGCTGCAATCAAAGAAATGGTTGGCACGGGCGAGAGCAAAAAAAAAAGGAAAAAGATGAACTGTGGAAATAGAATGTAGCGAAGCCGTGGGAATCAATATGTCACTGTCATGGAGTCTCTTATCTGGCGTTGCGTAACTTCGTTGCGATAACCTGGTGAGCGGACGATAAAAGGAAAGGCATGTGAGGTAAATAGCGGTCAGAGAACCATGGCCATGTCATGAAAATGCGAGAGAAAGTGTGCTATTTCTCAAGCAGCAACCCATCAAGCTGCTGCCTTGACTTTCTGATTGTGGACTCTGCCATAGCCTCCTCACTTTCACCTGCTTTCCGTTCGGGAAGCTTCTCTTCGTCGCTTTCGTCGCCGTTGATTTCGCCCCATCCTGAGCTGCGACGGCTGATGCGCCCCGTTACGGCCGCTTGCTGCTGCTGGGATGGCCCTGACCACGCATTCCCGGGGCCAGCGCCGGTAACGCTGGTTGCGTTACTATCGTGACGGCTATGCGAATGGGACACACTCATAGTGCTCGCGGCATCCCCGGCCGTGGTGGCGGCCTTGTGAAAATTGCCGCGCTCACCAGCCAACGGGGTAACGCTTGAGGCTGAGTAGACGCTGGCGCGCTCTACGCTGGCAAGACCGACCAAGCTAGGACGATTAAGAACGCCTGGAGCATTGAGCGAGGAGGTATTGGAAGGCTGCTCTCCAATAGTACCGCTGAGAACACTCAGAGGCAGACTCTCCCGACTACCACCAAAGACTGAGGACGGGGCCAAGGCGCGCACCGAGGCATTGGTATCTAAGGAGTTACGACGCCGTCGCTTGGAGGAAGACGCCAGTGTAAGTATGGATGCATTGTCGGTGAGAAGATTGTTCGCCGTCGCGGAGCTGTAAGTAACCGAGTGACCGTGAGTAAGGTGGGGCGGGACCGCCGTGGCCGGCGAGGAGGGAAATTGATGAGAAAATTGAACCTGCTGCGTCGCATGATTCTGCAAGGAGTTGGTGTGAGCAAGACCATGGTGGTGATTCTGCGGATTGTAGAGGTGGCCCGATGGTGCTGCCGACTGAACCGTGGTCAAGGTGGTTGTTAGAGACCGGACGGATGGCGCTGGGGATGAAAAGGTGCTTCCTTCGCCCCCACCGTGTGAACTGATCCCTCCTCCGGCCGTGACCATTGTACCTGCCTTCGAATAAGCTGCGTCCGATATGGCTGTGTCACCGTTTGTGGAGATGGTAGGTGCCGTAGATTTAGCACTGGTGGCGGGAACCTGGTGCTCGTAACAGGAGTATGTGATAGAGGGCTCGCTTCGAGAGCCGGATTGCCCGTCAGTTTCGGCGCTGAAATCCGATGCAGTAGCATCGCTGATGTTGTCACCACAGGGATTGGCAGCGGTGTTATTTCCAGAAAGTGGGTAGGGGTTATTCTTCGAATTGCGGTTCTTGTGTTTCGGCGTCGCATGGCGTTTGTGAGACCAACGGTTGGATCCTGAATCGGTCGAATGTTTTAAACTAGCAAGCCGCTTCATCCAACTGGAGAAGGGATGACGGCGTCCATTGCGATCTTTCCCAGAATCATGCGTTAGACAGTTGGAGGAGAAACAGAACACTGGGGAATTGCTTTGCGCACCATGCGCCCTGGCGGGTCCCTCTGTTGTGGCCATGGTTCGGGCCTCCCAGAGGATAAATTGGATTTCTTTTCAAAGGTCGTCGTACGGAAAGGTACCGAGACTATCGAGGGGCTGTTTTGAGCCGTTAAAGAGAATTTGAGACGGAGTTGTTGGTAATCGATCGATCAAAGGGACGCCGCAGAACGAGTGATTGAGCCCGGGAGGGGGGTGGAGGGGGTGGAAGAGGGAAGGGCGATGTATTGAATGAGCTGGAAGTGGGAAAGGCGGAGCGATCGTAGGCGGAACGCCCCGATCAAGTGAAGGCGCTTTGAATGAAAATGACGAGAAATCGCTGATCAAGAAGACGTAGCAATAGCGAAGTTCAACCGAGCATTCATTGTTGATGAAGGCAAGTCAGGAGTTCCTCAGGCCGGGCACGTGATACTGGCCGTCGGCCCAAAGAAGACACTCGGAGTGTGTACTAACTTACTCAGTACTAGGCCTATCGACCGTTATCACCACGTGCTTGATAGGCGATATCACATCATCCTGCCGCCGCTTCCTTCTCCGAAGACACCATGGGCTCAAGTGCTTTTGGATTAGAACAGTGTTTCTCTACATCTTCGCTTTCCAGATGAGTGCTCGGTATCCTCTAGAAAGGCCTCGCTGCTTCAAGCAAGCGCGACTAGCTATGTGACCCGGGAAACATGCTGGTTGTTTACTTACCTACTCGCCGCGATGAATTCCGATGGCCCGAGAATCCAACCCTTGCCACCATCTGCAGTGGCCAAATTGAAATCGTCGACGTCGATTACAACTCTTAAGGGGGTGATCCTGGACTTGGTCAAGAATGCCTTGGATGCAAATGCTCGAACAGTGTATATCACGGTCGATGCTTTGCGCGGAGGCTGCATAGTGGAGGACGATGGAGATGGCATACCACCATTGGAATTTCATCCAAGTGGTGGTTTAGGCAAAGCCCACCGTACGTTAGGCCGTCGTTCTTGAAGCCTTGATGCTTACCTCAAGCACAGATACCTCCCGGCTTGGCCCAGAGCGAGATGTCTACGGTCACCGAGGCTCATTCTTAGCCTCACTTTCGGCTCTGTCAATGTTGACCATAACATCCCACCATTTTCGGCATACAAGCACAAATACTATTGTATTCCACCATGCGACCCCAGTCGTTCGACTGACTCCAGCCCCGAGTTATCAGGGACTTAGATTCAGCAATCACGGCACCAGTATAACAGTGAACGATTTGTTTGGCAATCTGCCAGTACGAGTAAAGAGTCGTGCATTAGCTCTGCAGAAGTCTGAAGAGGTGGAGAGACAATGGGATGACCTCAGGCAGCTACTTGTGCCCCTGATGCTAGCAAACAACCAACTAATCAAACTTGTGGTCATGGACGCTAGTGGAGAGAAGAAGCTCTCTTTATGCCCGAAGACTCTAAGCCACGAGGCAGAATCAGCGTTGGATCTTCAGCGCATCAACACTATTCTGTTCCAGGCTGGGCTGGTGGAAGCTCGAAATACTGAGCACTGGGATGTTGTGTCGGCCAGTGTACCTGGCTTTCAAATCCAGGCCGCTATATCGCGTATTCCTAGCACCACGAAGAAGGTCCAGTTTCTTTCTTTGGGAGTAATTCCTGTGCTACCACAAAGCAGTGCGAATATCTTCTATACCGAGATTAATCGTTTATTTGCCTTGTCCGACTTTGATAATGCCAAATTTCCAGCGCCTCTACGAGCCAAAGATGAGGTCCTTAGGAGTGGTTATGAGACACTGGCGAAGGCTTCTCCCAAGGAGTGCACCAGGTGGCCCATGTTCTACATACGGATCACCTCTGAGGAGTGCAACAGTCTCGACTGCGATGCCGAAGGTGCTCCCGAGGCAGTTCAATATGTCCAGCGCATCTTAGACGTCCTTGGAGCCATGCTTAACGAGTTTCTTGATCAACAGGGTCTACGGCCGCGTGCAAGAAAGAAGAGAAAGATGTCGCCGAAGAAGAGCTCGAGGACCTCAGGTCATGAAGCTCAATGCTCAAATACAGCTTATAGCACCGAAGAACCTTTGAACCGTCATATAAAGCTACGTGATCTTCGGCGACCGATGACCGTCAGTCACCACTTCGGAAACTGGACCAGAGTAAAGAGTGCCAGCATCATTTCGAAAGATCTTAGTGCAACTGCGCGAGTCCCTAGGCCGAACGCCCCTCTTCATCGAAATTATTTGCCAAAGCCAGCAATGCCATCTGAACCAGCTCCTAATGACACGATTATTGTACAAAGCCCCGAAAAACGAAGCCACGATGAGGCTTTCGGTGAGACCAACTCACCCGACGGACATTTTGATCCGATTGCCGCGTGGATTGACCCTTATACGGGTCGAAGCCACATGATTAATTCCCGAACCGGCCAATCCATTGGCACTGGCTCTTCAGCCATTTCCCTGAGGCCCCGATCCACCGGGTCTCTATGGACGAAGCGGGGTCTGGAAGACCAAGACCGGCCCAAGTCGGCTGCCATACAACCCGCCCGAAATGCATGGGTCGAGAACCTTTTGGACGATTGGAAGCCCCCGGTTTTCGGCCGGCCCGAAAAGGCCATCGACATCTTCGATATAAATACGAGTCATCGAACAGCCACTCCGAGCAATCTCTTTCGTCCAGACCCCCTTGGGGTGGCTAAGTATCGTGGTAAACTTCGGAAGCACGACCTCAAGAAGTCCCAAATTATCGCCCAGGTCGACAGAAAGTTCATCCTTGCCGCGATTGGTCCCTCTGTATTCAACCCAAATAAAACCCTAGTTTTAGTCGATCAACATGCTGCTGATGAGCGCTGTCGCGTCGAGGCTCTTCTGGCATCCTTCCTCCCAACCGCGCCGACTGACACCCCTCCATCCGTTCGACTCGACAGTGCGATCGTGACTGAAATCCCCGCGTCGCAGACCTCGGTGTTCAAAAGATACCGACAATTTTACAGTCACTGGGGCGTTGAGTACTCAATCGAACAAAGACCCCGAGATACGAAGGCATTCGTCTTCGTGCATGCACTTCCCGCGCTCATTGCCGAGAGGTGTCGCGCGGAACCGGAGCTAGTCACACAACTGGTCCGTGGGGAAATCTGGCACCGGGAGGAGAGTGGTGGCTGGGGTCTTCCCACGGGCTGGAGTCGGGGCGAATCCCGGCCTAGTACTCGGCAAGACACTCACCATGGCGCTACGACCGCCAGCGACAGCAGCTGGTTCGGCCGGCTGGACACTTGTCCCCGGGGGATCATCGATCTGCTGAACTCGCGTGCTTGCCGCACGGCAATCATGTTCAACGACGTTTTGACCGTCGAGGAGTGCCAGGGCCTGGTGTCCCGATTGGCAGGCTGTACGTTTCCATTCCAGTGCGCGCATGGACGACCATCCATGATCCCCATCTTGGACATTGATGCGTCCGCTCCCCGTGGCCTTGGTTCCGACCTGGCCTGGGGTCAAACGGACGAATATGCTTGCAATGAGGCTTCCAACGGTGGCGGGTTTGCCGAGGCGTATCAAAGGTGGCGGGGTCTTGGATAATACCGATAACTCCTTCGGTGGAAGGAACCGACTAAATACCCATAGCTCTATATACACAACCTACATTCTCCGCCGGAGGAATAGAAAAATAATCGGTTATGATCACAAGTGATTGTTCATTAGCACGGGACCAGGTTGCATTAGCCGTAAGCCCCCAAATATGTACAGGATAAGATGATACAGTTCGTCCTCCCATGTGCCAGCCAGACCGGTCCAGAAAATCCCAAATCCATCCCAATAAGTAAGTACCCAAAGTTTTTCCATGCGAATGCCCAATTCCAGTATCCATAATCCACACCTGATTAGAACCGTAAATTTCCAATGCAATGCGACCGAGACCGGATGCTGAGCCAATCCGTAAATATAAGGCAGATAATGAGGAACCAAAACAAGAAAAATATAAAGTAAGTGGCACCGATAATAACACAGTCCTGTCATTACCAGGGAGGCTGCAGTGCTCCGATCCAGCCAATGACGAAACAAATTCATGAAACTGGCATGTTCAGTGAAGTACCATGGCAGCGAATCAAACGTGATGAAAAGAAAGTAGTCGGTCGAGGAAATGTTCACTTCGTCTGAACCGCGAGGTAGCTTGTATAAAAAGGTCCGAATGAAATGGGTATTGTTGTTTTGTATGTGCCATCCCTGTACAGGAAAGGATTGCACTGTGTGATATACTGCATTGTCTCTTTTTAGTAGGAGAATCCCCTCACCCCTCCTGGTTGATAGGTGAATCACAGGGGCAGCTCCGAAGTGTTGACAATATGGAATCATGAGGTATTCACAATAAAATGTGCGAGGATAATGACAATATCGAAAATGTGAAGAATAAAAGGGAGTATAGTGCTAATTCCGTGTCGGCATGAATTGAAAATGATTCGTAAATCGTAACTGGCCGTCCCGACTGGTTCAGGTTGGCCTGAATCAGCCATTTGTCGCTACCGACTTGGTTTTCGAGGGGTGCGTCCACGACAGGAATTCGAATTTGTCCTTGGCATTCTCTAGGATCGAGGAGGAGCTGGACTCCGTCTGCAATGTACGCTGCTGCTGAGGCGCCTCACGGGGCTCGAGGATGAGCGACCGGCGATAGAACGTCTGTAAACTCTTTTCACCGTTGGAACGAACCCGAACCAGCTCGTTCTGCATCCATGCCTGCAATTCTGGCACTTCCGTAAGGCGATATGGAATCTGGAAGCGTTGCAATTCGCTGATGATCTTCGCCGTCTTCATGTGTTTATCAAAGTTGATCACGGCCATTTCTCCATCGTCCGTGGGTAGGGAGCGGAGCGGCTGGTTGCCGTGGTCGACAAACGTCAGGTCTGTCAAATAGGTGCCGACAAACGGCAAGCAAGGTGGCACATGGTTTTGGAGACGCTGACGAAGAACCGCGTAGTTTCGCGAGACGTCGACAATTACACGAAGAGACTCGAGAGTAGTCTTCGTCTTCTGGGACACAGCCTCCCATGTCCGCTTGAGACGCGAGATCATCGACGAGTTCAAAGAGCAGATGATGGCCATCAATGAGTCGTAGTTATTCAACTCCAAGCACTTGTTGGCGATCTTGACCCAGTGCTTGATGATAGCCGCACGCTTCTTCGGTTCCTCCAGCTGGAGTATCGAGTCCGCCACAAGGTGCGCCAAATCTGTTGATAAGGTTGACATGGCGCGGACATTGACCGCCAGCGAGGCGGACTTTTTCGTCCACTCGGTCGCAAGCAACTCCTCGGGTAGTATGGCGCAGAAGATTCGCGATTCCTTGATGGTGAATTGGCGAGCCAGTTCTAGAGGGTCGAAATCAAGAATTGTGATATTGCTTTCCCCACTCTTCCACTGCTTTAGTAGCGCCACTTCCTTCTTGCCCAAGATGGGCGGGGGAAGCGGGGTATCTGGATGAATGTATTGGGCAGTCGCAGTATTTGTTTTTCCCATGGAGGAAACCAGACGCGGCACGACCGGGCCATGAACCATCGAGACCTTCTCCGCAAGTTCCAAGAGGCGCTTGCTGGCAGTAGGCAGGTTGTATCTAAGATTTGTATTGGCGAATCCGGTGATGTAGTCGAGTGCACTATTGTCGCAGTCATGTCGCCAGTGCGACTCGAGCCATCCCTTGAAAACATTGTATACACGAAGACGAACAGGACCTGCGGCGTGGGGTGTGTCACCAATGTAGTTGAACCGACCCACTAAAGTTTCGGCAAATTCCAAAGGCGTCGCGAACAGGCGGAAGGTTAGGTAGAAGGTCGAAACGAACATGGCGTCCGGGGTTGACTGATGCGCTGTAAGTCTTTCGACAAGGGCACGAAGGCTGCCACCCATCACCTGACCATCTTTGAAGATCAGCTCGTGGGCGTAGGTTCGCTCAAGAACGTTGGCCTCGGTCTCTTCATGCTCTTCGGCCAGCGTGGAATGGCTCAAGCTGCCTCGCAAGCACGGAGTCTGGTAGCTGTTTCCGATATCTGGCGACGTAGCTCGTGTCGAGGTTTGCGAAACCCCGCTCATTTCTGAATCACGAAGACGGCTGTTGAACGTGAAGCTGCTTCCATTGCTTGTTACCCCACGGCCGAAAGATTCACTCGGCTCAGACTTGAGCTGACTATTCCGGTACTCGAATGGTTGCGTGTCATGAGAAGAGAATGAGAGTTTGTCCAAGCTCGACGAAAGGATATTTGTGGACTGGAATGACACGTCGGTGCTAGCGGCGGCTGGAGTGATTGCTCCACCACGCGATTGGAAAGAAGAGGGGGTGCTGTCATCAGTCAGTCCTGGTGGAGAGGAGGAGTAAGCAGCATCAGTCGAGTTGGGGATCTGCAAAGGAGGAGGGGGCAATCGAAGTGAGACATCCTGTGGGCGGGTTGAGTTGCTGTCGAAAGCGTCAGGCTGCGGGGGCTGCGGAGTCAGGTTTAGGTCTGGCAGCATTATCGCCGCAGGGGCCGTATCTTGCGGCATGGCCTCGAGCTCAAAGTCGCCACACTCCTCTAGCATCAAGCGCGCTTTGGCCAGACAGTTCCCCGCCGCGCGGACACAGTCCGTGGCAGCATCCACCAAGCGCTTCCCCTCATCGGGCAAAAAAACTAATTCATCGTCGGGGGAGTGAGCTGGGCGGAAGGCGTCCCGCGCAGCGTACACTAATTCAGATAGACGTTCGTACATAGCGTCTCTGGCTTGCTCCAACAACCCACTGCCCTGTGGGTCATGCTCACAAGCGGCCTCGATGACGGTTAGTAAAGCCCGGCAGGCGCGCACGGACTGCTCCGTGGTCACCACTAGTTCCGTTGACGACCGAGACTGCAGATGTAAGCCAATGAACGAGCCCAACACGCCAAGAAAGGCATCGTATGACGAGTTCAGTCGCTCCGACGCTAGATTGAGATTCCGGGCCGCGGCAGCGGGTCCCGAGTACGACACTCGGTGGGATATGGAGATTCGTTTGGTGGCCACCGAAACAGACCGTGCCGGCTGCGCATCGTCCATGTGGGTGGATGCTCGACTCATGTCTAGTCGGCTGCGGTTGAGCAGTCTGGACTCGTTCCGCTCAGTCTCCCCCTCTGCCGCGGAGTGGGCAGTTTCCGTTACTGGCTTCGTCTCGGTGGTCGTTCGAGGCGAAAGGTCGTAGCGTGTTGATTGTTGCTCCAATTCGGCGATCGTCCTACTCAATCCAACCTCTTCATTCCACACGTCGAGGAAACGAACGCCACGAGTCACAATTCGAAATGCCTTGAGCAGCATCTCATCCACCAAGTAGTCAATATCATCCTGCATCGTACTTTTAGTCGCAACTTCTTGGAATTTCTTGGTTGTTCGGACCAGAGACGATAGATCCGCCAGCAACCCTTTGCGGTTCCTGCGCAACCCGTCATGATTAGTGACCAGCATGCAGTCGCGGGTCAGGCATTCGGATTTTTGCTTGAGTGATGTCAGCCGAAAGGGGACACTTCATTTGCATGGCAGAAACCTACCAAGAGATAGCGAACCCCGGCAATCAAGCCTCGCACAAGGTCCTGATTGCCGGTCTCATTCATGGCAAGCCGGCACCCGCCTCGAATGATATCCCAGAAGTCAGTCAATGCTTTGAGCAGCGGGCGCATTTGTTGTTGATCATATGCTTCGCAATAATTCGTGGGTAACCAGCCCCTGGCGCCTGTATCTAGCAGGGTGCCATCGGCCCAGCCATTGGTGTGAACGGAGTGAACAAGGATAATGTCGCCCTGATCCAGCGGGAGGGTGACAGTTGACGGGGATACATTGCCCGACGGGTGGTAAGGGTAGAACGCGCGAAGATAATTGTGAAAGACATTCCTCGGTTTTTCGGAGTTGTCGTCTCCCCCACTGTAGGGCGTCAAAGGAGGGCTCATCTCGAGGCGATGTTGAGCCGAATAGGAGCGGTTCATGTGAAAGTTCGAGTGACCTTTTTCGATTTTTAGGGGGGCAATATGTCGTTTGGGTGATTCTGGAGGATCCATTCTCACTGCGGTACGCTTTGCAGCGATAGTCCGATGCCTCTTTGAGTTTGAGTGTAGGCTTGGTCAGACGCAGACGCACAGGTCACTGCCCAACTCTTAAGCGAATGGAGAAATAGAGAGCATTTCCAGCTAGGTCGTAATGTGCGAACAGCCCGTCAAACGTTGAATTCAAGAAGAGATCATACCAGCGGACCAAGCCAGGCGGGTGATCTCGAAAGATTAACCGGTCGAGGTTACGACAATCGTGATGGAAACCTTTCCAAGGGGTTAGTCAGAGAGCACAGGGTGCGAGCCTTTCACCCACGTCAGTAGTGACGGCGTGCTTTTCTTGGTAGAGGGCTGGCAGGAGTGTTTGGGAGGATGTTTGGGAGGGGGTGGATGGTTCTGCATATCTCCCGGAGAATGCCCTAATCCTGGGAAGAAGCCTGGAAGGAATGCTGGGGAAGGGCAACCGGTTGCTAACGCACCTACGACGCGATCTCGAAGAACGAAGGATCTGATGAAAGGAGCGTGACGGTGAGAGTACAATGAAGATTGGTGGTTCGAAGGGCGAGTCGATGGAGTGCCAGTAGTTAAAGACACAATCCTTGATGCCGGATCAAAAACGAGGAGCGAGGTTGCGCACGAGGGCGGGGAGATTGCAGTGCTTTCGAAAGTAGGGACAACAAACAACCAATCCCAAATAAGGGAACGGTAGGGCGAATAACAGCCGCGGGCTCTCAAGGTCTCGATTGCCGAAGTCAATTTCTTATCTTATTGCAGGGACCAGCGTGCAACGAGGGTCGTGGTGGAGGGGTTTCAAACGCAAGGACCACGATGCGACCCCAAAAAGGACAGGGCAAGTTGAGCAAGACCTTCCGGGCGTGTGAGCGAGAGCACGGTCCGGACAACGAATGCGAGGTCGATCGACGCAGATTGCAGTGACAATGACGACAGAGCGCGAGCGCGATCGTTTGAGGCGGGTTGGTTGAGGAGACACGCAAGGGCCGTGTCGAATCTAAGACAGGACAGAGCCAGTAGCACCACTGAAAGAGCCCAAATGAATGCGATGCAGACCGTAACGCCCGAGGATGTAGATTTGGTATCGAGTCTTCCGATTGCCACCAGCAGCAATGAATGAATGAATGATCGCAATCTCCACGGCAGTGGGTGGTCGCAAGACAACTGACTGCAGGTATAATATTTATGCAATGCGGCAAAGTAAATGCGGTATAGTAATACAGTAAGTAAGATGAGATCTGTACTGAAGAGGGAACGAAAGGGAAAGGAAGGTCAATAAAACAGCGGCGGAAAGAGAGAGGGAGTGGTAGTGAGAAGAAGAAGAGAGAGTTGTGTGTGTTTGTGTGTGTGTGTATGTGTGTGTGTGTGTGTATGTGTATGTGGAGGAGTGGACGATGTAAAAGTGATAATATGAGGGGGGGGGGTGGTTGAAAAGAGTTTCCAGGTTAGAAGAGGGAGGAGCCCAAAGTAGCAATTGAGGAGGGGGATCGGACAGAGGCAAACCACCGGGCCAGGAGTTCTCCAGACTCCAAACTAGATCACAGTAGTGTAGGCACTTGTAAATGTCCTACTATTTAGTCATTAATAATTTTAATTTTCTTTTTAGTTAGTTCAGAGGTTTAGTCGACGAGGTGACGGGGTCTAGAGAGTTCTAGGAAGGCGAATAGTGGCTCCAAAGGTGGTTTATTCAGTATCCACAGAACCGGTGGATATTCCAGCAGCACATCCCTGACTCAATCGAGACGTGGAGCAGGCGATCGGTTCCCCGTATGTGGGTTTCTTTTGGGTAAAAGGACAAGAATTTGGAGTAGGCGATCAAGAGACAATAGAAAGAGTGAGAGTATTGAGAGTATGTGTATGAGTGAGAAGAAGAAGAAGGTTACTACACAATTGGCCCTTTATTTAATGCAGCACATAGTAACTTGACCTAAGGACTCTGTAGTCTGTAGTCCGTCTGTAGGTAACTTAGTGGTAAGGCAAAATGAAAGGATGAAGGATTGTGATAAGGATAAACCATCCCGGCCTGTCAGAATCATTACTGTTAATATATCTCTCTCCCCATGGCCTTGTCACATTGCGCAACACGTCTCTCTACAGTATTTCCCGTGCACTTTCCCCGGCTCCAGTCTAGAGCATACCCTTTTTTTTGAACTTGTCTTTTCTACAGTGTTCTTATTTGTTTATTTACTTCTATCTTATTTTTTCTTTTCCCATTATCTCTATTGCTCCACCTCTTCCTTGTCAAGTTCAATCTCAAAGATTACTTGTCTCTGATGTTACTCCCAAATTTCAAGGATCCTTTTTTAAAATTTCCCATTCTAGGTTGATCTGCTCTCTTGGCCGCCAGATGCAGCTAACCTTTTGAGTCCCGCCTAAACGGTTAGGATCTGCCCGCCGCAGCCCAGGCAGCTCTTCCCAGCACCAACCCTGATATCATGGAGGTGCTCCCTATTGGTTTCAAACTGGGCGTGATGGGCTCAGGGCATACGGAATTCGATCCCGATGCTTGTGCTAAATTAATTATTGCCAAAGATACTTGGTAAACCTCGATAACGTGAACCTTTAGCTGCAGCGAGTCTTCCTAAGCGGCATATGGGATGCTTAGCTCCAAGCCTGAGGTACTGTACCTACCTAGTAGTGTACGTACTGTCCCTCGCCCAGACGGTGTGATGACGGATTGCCTGATCAGTTAACAAGCTCCCGGGCGGCGGAATGATGGTGATTGATCAAGAACAATGCGTTTCCCTCGATTATGAGCAACGGTCGCCATCAGTAAGAGAGTTAGTCTTCCGTACTTTGTGTGGAGGTATAAGTACTAATTGAACTTGTAACCTAGCAACTGTGACTGTGCCAGATGGAAGAATGGCCCTGGAGGGAAACGATAAAAAAAAAAAAAAAAAAAAAAAAAACCAAAGAGAAAAAAATAAGATGAGAAGGCGAAGACATTGGCGAATACATTGGCGAATACATATGTACTAAAATAAGAATAACCACGGGCCCATCCCCTGGCCACTCAGCAAACAGAATACAAATTAATGTTAATATCAGCATTTAATTGCTCCCTTTTCCTGGATGCAGGATGCAGTCATCTAAACCGGTTTTGCGCTGTCCCACCGAGAGGTGTGTGTGAGAGTGTGAGATGACCTGCATTGATGCCGACAGGGGGGGGTCCGAGTAGTGGTGGTGGTAGTGGTACTTTTGGGAAAGGAGGGAGGGAGTGGAGCAGAAGCGGCCTGTCTGTGACTGCCCAGCATCTGGGGCCAGGCACCTTTTTTTTTTTTAGGCTTGGGGTTTCTCGGTCTCTCTCGGTCTCTCCCTTCCTTCCTTCCTTCCTTCCCCCCTTCTCTGTCTACCTCTCTGCCACTGACTTTGATAAACTCTTAGACTCAAGAAATTGGGTCACTCGCCGAATTTTCATATTCATATCTAACCTTCAAAAACCTAACTAGCTGGTGGTCTGGCAGAAGCTTATGATGTGGAAATCTTTGACTCTCCCAGGAGCCCCAGGCCACCAAAATCTCCATGGTGGCAAAGCTAACTTACTGTGTAAACTACTGATTCCCTTTCGCAATAGTATACATAGTATTTACTCCTTTACTTCCCGTGGACTCTCTGGCATGGCACTCCCGGGAGGATGATTCTCTTGAATTGCCTCAGCTCCTTTCGGTAGAAGAAAAAAAGCCAGATACTATCCAGAGGGCAACAGTAAGTAGAGCACAGCACATGAAGGTACCGGTACAACCCCCAAAGTCACAATCATCAGTAAAGCCAAAAATTGGGGTCTTGGTTCCAAGGTTCCCGAAGAGCGCGCGATCGGCAATGACAGTTTCCATACCATTGGAACCGTACAAGTACTCCGTACACTGATCACGATATCCCGGTAACTGTACTCCGTAAATTGTTGTTGATCGGCCCATAGTAGGCAATTTAAACTCCGGGAAGTCCCTCAATCGGGTAGTACTTCTCTTGCCTTGAGGGGCTGATGTGTGCGCCGTGAGAGAAATTCTCCGTAGCCTTTGCTTGAGATACGGTATCTGTCTCCTGGTGTCTGTGATTTGTTATTTGTCCCTTGTGGTCATGAATACATTTTGCCATGTGGTTCACTGGGCATACATCTCGATGGCAGTCTTAATATTTGGCTAGTGATCATAGCTGACAATTCGACCGCACGGCACAGTTTATCCTCACTAGTGCTAGAACAAGCCCATTCATGGAAGCATGTTAACTTTAACCAAATCCCACTCCGGTCTTCCGCCGAGAAAGCACCGCGCACAGTATACTGGAATATTGCCTCACTGTTGGAGTTGGACAATCAGTCGGATGGAAAGATGGAGAAAGAAATGCGACCGCAAGTTCTGGGAATGAGCAAGTACTGTACTGTGTACTCCGTACCTCGTACGAAATAGATAGATTCACAGCGCCACTTGGGCATCTAGTGACACGTCGGATGTCACCGAATAAAGAAGGGAAGGGAAGGATACATCTTGACCCACCATAGCTGAACCCCCAAGGACGTGGCAAATGTACGTGCTGTACTCTCTGTGCTGCACATAACCTAGTAAATTCACGCATATCCTGTTGCTAGACATGGACCACATGACCCGATTGAGCGACGACCGAGACAGCTATCGCAAGGATAACAAAGGAAGTTGTTTGTTGCTCCACTCGATATCAGACCAGTCAACGTCAAGTGTAAGTGTGTCCAATGAACGACCATGTGTTCTCCCGTACCTGCAGGTAGTAAACCATGTCTAGGGTGCAGCTCGCTACCAAGCCCGATGGACAGCAACTTACTCCGTACCACCCTGATGTCTGCCGGCAGCAAAGCTCACTCTCGAGACGATCGCACCACATCCCGGCTATTTGCCAGTGACTCCATCCAGGAATGTGCCTTGTACTGGGCTGTACTCAGGTCCGATGCAATGGTTCGTTTTCATCCGTCCCTTGACACCTCCCCCTTCTCACCCCGGATCGTTGAGGGCCATGGGTAATCGGCAATGCAAGGGCAACGGTCTGCTCAACTTTCAGATAGCCTTTGAGGTTTGTACGCTGCGATAAATGGAGGAACTGCATTGCTCAATTATGCATCGAAGCCGATCGGCCTTATGTTCTCTCTTTCGGTGGCGTGATTCGAATATGGATAGTGTTGAACTTTAATGCCATGCGTAACACCGCCGCCTCCGTGGTCGGCCCGGCAATCATTTGGAGAAGCTCGCCGGAGCCTGACTGACAGCTGACAGACAACCTACGTAGCTGGAAACTACCAGGCAGGTACTAGTTGGCTAGAGGTATTGGAGGTGTAAGTGGTATAGACACCATTCTCTCCTTTGGCCGCATTTGTCCACATATGACACTTACGAACTCGGTTCCCGGGTCTGATCGCCACAAGCCACTCAAAAGATAGAATTGCGGAGAAGTAGATCATGCCCCAGACACTCTAGATCCTTTTTCGGACCTTGCGTCGACGGGAGAGACTCTACGTAATACCGTATGGGGTAACTAAGCTCCACGGAGTTCATGGTGATGTCTACTGGAGGCTACCCACGCAAGCAAAAGAAATAGTCGTCCCCATGCTGATAAGGTTCGTTCTGCTAAGGGACGGACAATCCGACGGCATATCAAGCCTTACCACTAACTACGGTACCCATTCCCCAAAGATACCCCGTATTCCAGTCAAAAATGTGACAAAACGCAACTATCACCACCCGGATGGGATGGCATCGACGAGGCTGTGATAGGTGAAGGTAGCGCGGGTTGATAGTGCGTGTCAAAGCGTCATTTTGTGCTTTCGCAAGCAAGAGATGTTGAAGTAGAGCCTTGGAGAGGGGATGACATCCCATTGTTGCTCCATTTGCATCAAGTCCAGACCCAAGTAGTGCCAGGCTGAGTCTAAGATGACCTAAGATGCCGCTAAAGGATGATCTATACTCCAAAAGGGACGCACCAATGAGTTTAGTGTCAGTAGATCACAATCCTCCAGGATCAGACAAAGAGCTGCCCATCATCCAAACGAGAAAACAAGCCGGTCGGAATGGTGGTTCCAAATGAGCCTAGGAACAACACGTGCTCGTCGTTGCATGCGGGACTAACGATGGGAGGCCTAGAAGCGATTGGGCCAGAGGGCAACGGTGAGGGTCAGTGCTGTTTGGGATCCTGAGTGACCACTGATCACGATCGACCGTTGACCAGACTCTTGCACTTGAGTATACAGCCATAATATTGCAAGATACGAGGATGGAGGTAACTGCAAAGAGACTTCCTGTAGTGAATTGTGTCGAGAGAGTTTGAGGGCCAAGATCGATCTTGGGTTCTGGGACAGAGTCAGGAGGGTGGTGGAGGGTGGTGCGGTGTGGTCATGGGAAGGCTGGGAGCCTCCACAATCCAGGCCGCTTGCGACTGAAGCAGCATAGACCAAAGATGAAGAGTATTCGAGTATACTCCGTAGGTACTACTGAATACCAACGGTTTCACACTGCGCAGAGACTTCGCAGCCTGGTTGTCCGTCAGCTTCCGCTCATCCTCCGTCATTCGTGCTCAGGGACGGGATCTGCTGTCAGAGAGAATTACCGAGACAACTGCGTCCCCCACCGCGGAAGCCGCACTCTACCGCTCTAAGCGTAGCGACACGGGACGGCGCGACATGGCGTAAGTGCTTCCCTTTGATCTCCTTTAGCCTGGCCAGATTAGAACAATGAATGAACGGAGGCGGACTCGGAAGGAATGAGAGACCGCCCGGAGGGATAGGAGACACAGGCGGTGTGCAGTCCGCGTGTCATCGGTTAAACAAAAGACATTGCTTGTGTCTTTTGTGCTGCTGCTGCTGCTGCATTCCGTTCTAGTTATCGTTGTCTCCTCCGACTAAAGGAAAGCGGGGAAGGAGGTACGCGACAATGGTTAGAAGAGACAGATAGGGGTAGGAGGAAGGAAGTAGAAGAGTCCGACTCAGAGGTTCAAGAGAAGGAATAACAATCCCCACCCATAGTCGTTGTGAAAAGTGAAAACATCCACACACAGGGCAGAATCATATCGCGACCGAGATCTTGTATGCCTGGTATCTCAGGAATTAATCACGTGTCTTGTCTCACTCAGTGGTTTGGTCGACTTAAGATATCCCTCTCGAAGCTGAGTCCGAGTAACGTTATAGTCATTTCATCCGGATCCTAAGATACTCAAATACTCTCATGCTCACTATCATAACAACTGCTTGGACTGTGTTTGACCAGCGAATAGTCTAGTCCTTCCCCAGCCAAATGTGGGCCGTACAGTACAGATTCACTGAAGGATTCCAGCATTGGTTCTACGGTACGAATTTTTTGCCACCTGCGGATCACTCGATATATCGAATTACAACTGACTCCCATACTCCGTAGAACCTTCGAAGAATTCAGGTTCAGTGGCCCCCTCTACCCCATTTCCTTTGTGGAGCCGCTCCCCGACCATTGGATCCCATCTGGGTCACGAACTATGGGTCTGCATCAAGTTTCGAAGTTCTGATCTGGCTTCACGCAATGGCGCGAAGAATGGAGCTGGGGAAGCTCGGGGCATGGAGGGCCTGGTTCCAAAGCAGCTCCTGTTGACGAACAGCATGGTGGTCGTCTCCTGTACCCACGCTTGGGCGTCAAAGGCACGTACGTAAACCCCGGATTATCAAGCTTGTGTTTGTCGCCCAGGAGAACATACGAGTCAACACATGTACCTGTCTCAAAGGAGGCAATCGAAGCCAGCAACCTCAACGAAGATGGTGCAATTCACACGCAGCCACGCTCGGCTCGGGGAACGCATCACCGGCAGCAGATTGTGGATGGGTGGATCCTCACCTTCAGCTAGTGCCGAGTAGTATGCCGACGAACGCATTAGTGATATACACGGACCAATGCCTCGCGTGTATCTCCACTCATTGCTGATCGCTCAATCCTGCACGAGCGACCGCGCGACGTGAAGAATCAGGGTCGGCATGGGACAAATTGGCATTCTGCATTTGTACGTGAAGTCTTGGGTTTCGCGCCTGGGCGGGCTGCCTTGATAGGATATTCAACCGAAGCAATAGCGTATACTTATTTGGCAGCTGTCAGTTTGCTATGATCAGACAGTGTAGAGTGCAGACAGGGCTAGCTGCACTAATGAACGGAAGACTTGCTAAGTTTAGCTTGACCTGCAGTGATGATGAGAAGCAGGGTGCGACTGAAGCTGCCGTCAATCAAAGCATCCCTACATGCTTGAGGTTGCGGTGAGAGATGTCAAGCATCACCATTGTGATACCATTGTGATCGAGACCCTTGTCGTACAAGCAATCCGGACTCGAGGTCAATACCGCACGACGGAAAACGGGACAGGCCAGGGCGTGCTGCAAGACTATCTGACCCCCTCGTAGTCTCATCTTCAGAGGCTGAAGAAGACCTTGAGAAGAAGTGCCGGGTCTGCCGGTAAATATTCCGTGACTGGGAGTCGCCTTCTGTCTGGTTACATTGTTGGAAGACGCTGCTCAACATTGCAGACCAGCACTTGCCGGCCGTCGGAGGCTAGAAGTAAGACTAATGCAACTCTTGCATCAGGAGAGGGGCCATGGCAAATAAGTCAAAGCCCGAGCACGAGTAATCGTGCAGACTCACTCGTGGAAGAATTGCCCACTGGAAACGGGGACAATTGACAGCTGCTGCCCCCTTTCACGTGCTGTGTGACTTGGAATGCAGAGGAGAGTGCATTGTCACATCGGGGCGAGGGCTTGTTGCACACTTAGGGCGATCGGAGTCGAGATAATCGAGCTAACCCTCCCTAGATAACATCAATTCGTCAGTGGTTTGCAATTGTGCAGCATGCAGAAAAAAAGCTGCAGAAAACTTGGAAGTACGCGTGCGCGGAACCGGTTGCTACAGATGTAGTCCTGCAGTGTCCGACTTGATCAATGTTCAAGCAAACATGAAGAAATCGGGCTTAAATCTACAAAGTACCCACACTATGCTTCGACATACTGGCGCGACTCGCCCAGGTAAACTCCCGGGACGCACCCGAGGTTCTCACTAACGGTATGACCCTTTTAGAATGTACTTGGGGCAATAACTTAGACAACCTGATATAATCATTATTCTTCCATTACCATAGACAGTTCAAAGCTTGGAGAAAGCAATCGCGTGAATCCGAGAATTATCCTACGCGTCAACTCCAGAGACACCATGCAAAAACACCATACATACCTCCCCCCTCCGTCTTTCCCTCAATGCCACACTCCCTTGTTTGAAGGTATTCCCCCCACCACCCCTACACCTTCATCCCTTTCCTCCAAACTGATTTCAGGAAAGCAGCATAAGAAGGCCTACAAGGTCAATCTGATCAAACCTCTTCCTGTCTTCCACCCCTGCGACGCGGCACACACCCTTTAGAAATCCCACTCCTCTCCTGCCAAACCACGAGCCTTACCACTCCCCCTTTGTGAAACTCAACCCCTTCCAAAAAAAATGATGGAGGTCTCTCTCACATCCCTCATCACCACGGTCCTGACCCTCACTCTCGCATCAACCGTCGTCGCCCTCCCTCTCCCCGAATTCCTTCCCTGGGCGCTTGTGGATACCGTCTTGCCGGGCTCGGGGATCCCCAAAGCCGTGGAAAAGCTGGGGACAGGGTTTCAGTGATGGTCTGTAGCCCTAAGGGCCAAGAAACGCGAGGTGAGGATTTAGTTCCGTTGTGTGAAGGGCTGTGGGTGGTCTACATTTAGCTGAGACGTTGAGATTTGGATTCTAGTTTAGGAAACACGTCGCGAGAATGATCCCAGGACACTGGCAGCTGGGCTAGTGTTTCAGTATTTACGCCATCAAGAGACTGACGGACCATGATGAGCTCAGGCAAAAGTGCTGGACTAGATGGCTGACCGATCAATTCGCAAGGGAAACGGCGAGGGCAACCTTACAGTTGGCCCACAGGCAATTCATATCGCTGTGAGGATGTATATGTAACATATTTGGCGAATTGGTATCTATGCGAATAGCCGTTACGGCAGGATACTTGTCGCTCCTTGCTAGAGTTGTCACGTTTCTCCCTCAGGGTAAGTGGCATTTCTTCTGTGGGAGCTTGATGGGTAGCCTGGTGGGCTGATCATACACTGGAACCAGGAGGTCTGATCTGCATGTACGCAGAATGGTGCTTGGCAAGAGGAGATCACAACTTGGGTTCGGGGCGAAGAAGGTACAATGCAATGCTCGATGCTAAATAGTCGACCCACGACGGACACCGTACTGTACAGCCCATCTTGAACAGCCTCTATTAGAATAGACCTTCCATATCCAAGTCAAGAAACTCTGGATTCCCAACCGCCATATCAGCAGCGTTCAAAACATCATCAATACTCGTATCCAGTCCACTCGACGATTCAAGTCCCATACCACCCATGGTCTGACCTCCGTCCATTCCCACTGCAGCCGCAGCCGCCGCATTTTCCAACATGCGATTGAGATTTGCCGCGTCGTCATCAGTGACACCATGCCCGGATGCTCCCTGTGGGTCGAGATCCATCTGCCCAGGGCCTCCGACGCCAAGCTGCATGTGCTGAATTATATTATTCATATCCAAATTTGGGACCTGGGCCGGTGGGGTCATGAGTGCGTTTACCCGCCGATACAGCCGGACGATGACTTCAGCGCGTAATGGATCCTTTTCGGAAATCTTCGGTATGTTGTCATGAAGTAGATTGAGAGCGCTCCGGAGGGTGAGAATCGGGCATCGTGGGAAGGATTCTTTGGTAGGATCTAGGGGCTGGTGAGAGTGATTGTTCTGGTCGATGGCAAAGTACTCGGCCATAGGTGCGCAAATCAGCGTCGCTGAAACATCGAGGGCTATATCACCGCTGCCAGTCTCGGTCTGCAACTTGAGTTCCTCAACCAAGGCCCCTAGAACGCGCGTGGCCCCAAGAAGCAGAACGCCAGTCACGAGTTGTCGGTGCGTGTAAGAGTGCGGTGCAACACTGACGTGCGGACTTGCGCTCCACAGTACAAGGGACTGGAAGGCACTTCGTATACTGCCTAGAAGCCCTCCGGGCGAATGTGATGTCCACGAGTCTAGCTCACTCCGGTGACAGCTGCCGCTTCGCTCGAAAGATAAGCATGGTTCGAGTGCATCAAGGATCGGCTTGATGTCCGTACGAGACGGGTGTCGGGCACGGACATCCTTCAATTGTTCCTCCAGCCCGCGTGCAGTCATGTTCAAGACGGTGCGATGTATCTCTTTGGCTTCGCCTGATATCGAGGTGGGATTGATCAGGGAATGTAAAGCTTTCAAGGGGATCGAAGGGTCGCCCTCCGTTTCCCATATGTGGTTACCCAGCCAATTTAAGGCCAGAACAAGCGATGGAAGAAGAAACGGTTCGAGGAGATCTAGTCTGTGTCAGTCTAGTTCAAAACGCACGTGAACGGAGGGAATGCATTACATTCAGCTCCACCTTTGAGTGTATCGAATTCCAATTTCCCGGCCTCGCACGCCCCAAGACTTTGGCTGAACAGAGTAGCAACAAGAAAATAAAACTCCTGCGGGCTACATGCCGACATTGTCTCTTCGCTGATGCCTTCGGCGATGAATAAAGCCGTGATCCAGCCCCCCAAGTTCTTGTTTTGCTTGTCGCTCAGAGAATCCAGTTTCTGACTGCATGAGCCACTCCCAAGAATTTGCAGAACAAATGAATTGCTGCCACCAAGTCCAAGGTCCTGTGCTCGCAAGCCATACCGATATGTAAAGGCGAGCACTAACAGTAAGATGCTACCAAACTCGTCGTAGACAGGCTGGCTTTCTCCTTGATCCTCATCCCAATGCCAGGCATCCAGCAATGAGCACAACGGTTGCAGCACCTGTTTTGTGCTTCGAAACAACAGAATGACATCCATAGCCTGGGGCCGGCGAGAGAGTGAGTTGCAGATATTCTTCAATGTCATCGTTTCCTTTTGATTGCAAAGGTTGTGCATGACCTACGCACGTCAGCTAAGGTTTCGCAAATTCTCAATTCGGAAAGGGTTCGAGGGTCCGTACCTCGATGATCGCGCCAACGATTGCACCGGCGTTTCCCTCCATCGACTCGATCTCACCTATCAAGTGCTCGGCTCGTTCCGGGTTAGCATTGATCTGGTTGACAAGATCATCTTTGTTATACGGCCCCCCTACAGGGAGTGTTTGCATAGGATTTTCTCCAAGAAGTCGCTCGATGCTGGATTCAGGGATCAATTTGTGCGAGGCGCAAGCGAAAAGAAATTCCTGCCTCACGTCCGAAAGAGCAGTGTTGCTTTGCATGGAAAACATCTGCGAAAAGGATGGAAACGTATTTGGATCTAGTCGACCCAGCGCATGACTGATACATAGTTCCATCTGTAAGGTAACCATAGATGCTGCCAGCATGGCGGCAAAAAAAGCAGGTAGTTTGTTCACGAGGAACGATCGAAATAGAAACATCGACCGGTTGGACTCGCTACGGTAGCTTGCGTTCGAAAGCACGTCAAATGCTGCCGTGATGGTTTCCTCAATAAGAACTTCATAATGACCCTGTTGCAGTTAGTGCGATTGTAGGGCTGCGCCTTGGACAACCCACTCACCCCATATCTGTTCGACAAGTAGTTCAGAAGCATGCTGTCATCAACCAAAGGACGTCCTACCAGCTAAAACCTAGTCAGTATCAAGCTACTGAGCGTGTGACGTATACGTACCATCGCATTGATATAGACGAAGAGGCCAGCTCTCGAATTGATCATAGGACCGTCCATAACTGACGCCTCAAACTGAAGCGCGTTGACGTTGACACCTTCCATCATCGAGACATCCAACGGCTTAGCCGGAGGTTCACCGTAAAGGTTGAACTCTTTCTGCAGGCTGTCAAGTCGATTACGAAGTGGTAGTGATACTTCAACACAGATGGGAAGGTATGCCGACAGAGCCTGTCCCAGTTTTACTTTCAAGGCTGTATTATCCTGTCAGTAGTGGAATAGTGAAGCATGGATATCTGAGCCTACCTTCCTGGGAGTCGGCTGAAAGGACCTCAAGTCCTTTCGTAGTGCCCGACAACGCAGCAAGCAAGATACCCAAGGACTCGAACAGCGAAACTGCGTCGGGAGAACTGATTAAGCCTGGGTTCTGATGACCAGAGTCAATATGACTGCTGTTCCAGGCCACAACAGCTTGGATCCAGTCGATAATAGCGGTGAAGATTGATATCGCTTCTGAAAATGACTTGGGGACACTGCCGGTAGAGACGGACAGCATAGCATCCTGGACAACTCTGATGTCCGTCATGAGAGTGTAGCAACTTCGACTCTTCTTGCCCGGATAGACCTCCACCGATGACGATTGATGTTTGTCGTGGATTGAAGAATGCTTTAGAAGGGCATTCAATACGGTCGACGCCTGGACAAGGCCCATCTTGCAAAGACAGTCTATGTACAGCGGAAGAAGCGGGTCCCACTTGATCCCTGTGCTAAGTCGCGTCTCGAGTAGCACATCTAGCAGTAGGGCTTCAGTAATTGGGCAGCGCTGCAGCAGTAGTCGCGATAGGCTTTTGAACTCTGCTGCGTCGATTCGATGCAACAAGCATCGATGGAGGAAAATCCCCCATTGTTCGGAAGAAGTCATGTTCCAGATCGATCTGCTTGATTCGCTTGATACTCGGGGATTGCGGGGAGCATAGCACAAGTAGCAGTGTGGAAGCTTCGATTCATACAATAGAGTTGACTACCCTGGCATTATTGCTCGACATCGCGACATGGTCTGTCCCCGAGCTTGTTGATCCCGGGAGACAACTTTAGCTGCAATCATTGTTTAGACGTCAGGTGCTCATCACGTGGGCTTATGTAACACATACATCACGTGACTTGACTGTGGTCACGTCACTGCGCCGCACTGGCATCGTATGTGACAAACAAGCATCCGCTTTCTTTTAGATACTTGCCGACCGGACGGAGAGCGGTCTCGTACGCGGAGGCCTTCGCAAGCGTGTATTTGCCAAGACTTTGAAAACATTGGCGATGCACCTCGATATCTGAAACAACAAGCCGGAGACGGCTGGATCTGGAGATAAAGCCGGCATCCATCGTAGATATACCCTATCCACCTCAATAATGACGCGTCGAAGCATATGGATCTCCAATGGCATGAATCATGTATGCTCCAGTGAGAAGGGCATTAAGGACAACACCTGGATGACAGACACACCCGGTCCCCTTGAGGTCAGGTTGCGCCTGTGTTTTGCAGGTACTGTTCTGTACTACCTACTACAAGATTCAAGGTCATTTCCGACGTCTCGGAGTTTGGCCGTATGGCGTCGGAACTGAGGGTCTGCCGTCGGGAGCTTCCCAAACGAGAAGAAGACAAAAAACAATCGTGGACAGTACTTAACAGTATAGGTACTAGGTTGTGACAGTACAGTTTCCTTAGGTACCGATTCTGCCACTACCTCTTCATGATAAATATTACAGTTACACCGAAAATAGATATCTCGTCTGAGTCTCGATCTAGGTTGGTCAGAAGACGATCAGCACTCTGTATGGGTAATCATCACTGCACTCGAGCTCATCAGCCATATCTAGGGAAGCTGGACTCCGGGGACTAACGATTCATTGCCATTAGCTCTTTGATAGCTTCGGCACTCAGCCGTAAGAGTTGGGGCCTGGAGGGGATGTTTCAGTTCGGTTGCTTAGGGCTAGACCGTTGTGAGGTATTATTTCCGGTTATAATGTCATTGGCTCTTAAATCGCATCGAATAGCACCCCAACCGCCACTTTGCAATATGGCCGTTGATCATATCCAATCATTGGTGTGTCTGACTCGCCAGGCATACTATAATGGGGCCGCATGGCTTGC